CTTCAAAAGCTGTCTCCATATCGCATACACTCAGAGAAAAAATACATCAAATTCTAGTTAGTATTGCATGAAGTATGTCATAGTCCATTACATATATTACAAGTGGAACTTAGCGATTTTTCAACACCCCCTCTCAATTGCTTACTTTCGACTCATAAAGGAAGCTTGTGTGAAGTAGCATATTCCAGCTTGAGCTGCGCCTAAGTCAGGCAGGACTTATTTATAAATATACATATGGAATTATAAAAGATTTTGTCCTATATATAGTATAGTATCTGACGATATTTGTGAATATTTAGCATTAAATAAGAAGAAAAACTAGAAATTAAGTTTAAATAAAAGAATTCCCGAGTATTGAAAATATTATAAGTTGTTGCTTGTTAAAAATATGTTAAAACCCTTTCAAAAAAATTGGCCAATATATTTATTATTTCTCGTTCTCTTATTTCTCATTCTCGCAGTGTTTTATTTATGCTAATGCATGAATCCGGCATGCAGCTGGTATTTTGCCGAGCAACAGGACTCCTTTAGGGCAGCTGCTTAGCAAACGACGCTGCCGCCGCCCACGTGCGTGGCATGCAAGGAATTTCCAATCAATTTTAATTGGCACGCCATCAATAAGAACGCAGCACCAGCAGCAGCAGAGGCAGCAGCAGAAGAGATTTCCAAATCTCAAAGTCTTTCAAGATTTCCATGTTGCTTGCGACTTGTGTCGCATGGCTAAACGAATTCCCAAAATATTTGTGCATAATTTTAATTAGAGCATTTTTCTATTTTGCGCAATTTATCTTTGCCGCTGCCACTCGATAAGTATTTATTTTTATTTTTAAATTCGTGCGTATGTGTGTGTGTGCGTGTGTGGCAAGTGTCAGAGTGGCATGCCACTTTTAACTGGCAATGAGTGTCAGCTCATTGCAATAAATTATTTTAAATGAGCATATCGACAATGCCTGTGCCGCGCGTGTGTGCCACGCCCCCCACCAACACCGAGCTACTTCTATGCGCCTAGACACAGACATGTGTCTCTTCTGGATTCCGGTAGAGTATTTGGGGCATTTTTATGCATTGCCCTCTGACATTGTCTAAGATTTGAGGTATTTGAATTTCTGGCTTTAGCTGCTTTAAGAGCGCGCAGATAAATCTTTCGGCGAGCCAATCAAAACTTGTGCCCAGCTCATTTAAATGCTCTTTGGGGCTGCACAACAAACTCATTTAAGTTTGTCCCCAACACAAGCAGCAGCAAGTGCAGCGGCAGCAGGAATAGTAGCGGGGGGAACGGTGGAGTGGGTCCAGCAGCAGCAGCATCCAAGATAGGTAAAAAGGATAACGTCGACACACACACACAAACACACAAACACACAAACTCAGAGACGGGGCACTCCGAAATTGTCGCTAAGGGATTGGCAGCGCCAACTTTTGCCCAAAAATGTTGTCGGCTTAATTGCCAAGTGTCCTCTCGGCCAGAAGTGCAAAGGGAGCCTTAATTGCTGAGACTCGCCGGCAACGGTCAGTTGTCGGGCAGCGTCCTAGGCCAAACTCAAATGTTTAATTGCCATTTAGTCCTTTTTAATGGACTCCACTGTACCGTCCGTTCGCAAGGCCGTGCTGCGTTCATTAAGAGCCACGTCTAGATGTGCGCTCACCTCCTCGTGTCCTGTCGATACATTATCTCCGACTCATAGTTGTTGTTGTTGTTATGCTGTTGTTGTGCCTTTAGATAAACCTGCAAATGCTAGCATTTTAATAGCCAAAAGCCGACCACTGGAGACGCAGCATTTTTGACTTAATATGCCACAGTCCGTTATCTGTCCGTGTGTGTGTGTGTGTGTGCTGAGAACTGTGTGCCCCGTCTGCTCGTTTGTGTTGCATAAATTTTGGCTGAATTGCTTGTTGTCATTGCGATTGTTGTTGTTGCTGTTGCTGATAAGACGCCGTCGATAGCATGACAATTAGCCACAACTATATTTAAAATGTGTATTACCCCTGACAATCCCAAGTCTGGGGTTGCTTTAATTGTTTCTTGGGAATTGTTGAAAGCGCAAATACAATTTGATTCCTGATAGCTATCATTGACCATCTGCAAATGTTCATTCTGCAAGAAGAACGCTTGGTCATCTTAAAACAGCTAACAGGGTATATTGGGTCAATGCATATTCAGATTTGTCTGTCTGTCAACAGGAAACAAAATATTTGCTATTGTATCTACATTCTCCACAACTCTCAAGCTATGGTCTGCAAACTAGAGAACAACTTTTGGTATTGCATATGTAGATAGATGCACTCTCTAAGTGATCCGGGTTCCAGTTCCAGGCTGGTGGAGAATCAATTCAATAAAGTTAACTATATCTTCCTATACTGTCTTATTCCACCTGCCTTCAGATATACAGGAGCAGAGTATACCGTAGTCATTTGCTTTCCAATTTATTGTCTGCTGCGCTGGTCAACTCTTTGCAGACTCTGCGTATGCTTTGCCCCGCATTCCCCACTTAAATGCTTGCTCATCCTGCCGCTGTTGCACTTATATTTAATGAAAAAAAGAAGGCGCTTTATTATTAAATTACGCCCAGCTCTGCTCGAACTTGCGCTTGACATAAACATAAACTTGGCGCCCTTTGTGCTGGGCACAAATCAGCAGCAGCAGCGGCGGCGGTGACTCCTGCCCTGGCCAAGTAATGTATCCTGGCCGCCGGCTAAGCAACACAACAAAAAACACCTTTAATATTTTCATTATGAAGTCATTCAGCGCGATTATGAACGCGTGACCCCCGAGGCGACTAACAGCGTCCAAAGCACAGGATACAAGTCCGCCCGCCCGCCGTCCTAATGAACAACAACAGGACAACACTTCAACTTGGCGGCTGCTGCTGCTGATGAAAGTGGCTCAAAATGCCAGCAGAAGGCGGCTGGAAGCTGGAAAATCATCAGCAGCAGCAGCAGCAGCAACCGCCTCAGTGTGGAGCTTTTTGAGCTGAGGTAAATTACAATTTTGTTTATAAGTGGCCGTCGCCCTGGAGGAGGGTATTGTTGCTGGCCAAGTGCAGCTGTACCCAATAATCATAATAATTGCGCCATGGGCGTCAACGTCGTCAACTTTGCCAGACGCCAACGCGGCCGACAACAATTGCTTATAAAGTGCGTGTGACACATTAACGCAAAAAAAGTGAAGAGAAAATAGGAAAAAAGCGCGGAAAAGTGCTAAGGAAAAAGGCAAATAAAATGGGCGGCGAACTTCAAAAGAAATAAAAATAAAATGTTTGAAAGAAAAGTCCTTTAATGCCGTGAATTTTACGCGGGATTTCTATAAAGTGCAGCGCCCAAAACGGGGCGGGCGCGACTGCCCAGTTCCTCCAGGCGGGGGTCCTGCGGTTTGTGCCTCGCACCAAATTGAAAATGTTCGTGCGTAAATTGACTTTGCGACAGGGGTGTATACGCAGATAGGCAAATCAGCCTGTGCCCCGAAAATTGAAATGGAAACAAACCGAAGCGGCCAGTTTTCAGTTTTAAGCTTTCAGTCCTGTTCACCTCATGTCCGGGTGGCCACTTTTTCAAATTGAATTTCTTGGAGTGCTGTGTAGAGCGTAAGCAGCGGAAGCAAATTAAAAAGAAATTAAGCCAATTTGCCTGGGCACCGGATGCGGCTCCATTTCAGCTCCAAGTGCCTTGTTGTGGCTCGTAAATCTTTGGCCCATAAATACCATACCAGGAGCTGCTCCTGGCTGGGCTGCCCAGGCCCGCATCACGTCTCGCTTGGCCGCCGACATCTTCATTTCGGCGTGAAATTCTTTAATCTCATTCAATTCAATTAGTTCGAGTTGACTAGTTAATGCCGCGCGAACAGTCCGCGAATGTCCTTTTTGCCAGCTGCCCGCTTAGGTGTGCCGCAGTCCCTGTCGAAGTGCCGCTTCCTTATCCTGGTCGTAGCCGTGTGGTTATGTCGTTTTGCCGCTTATGCCTTCTTTTTGTCACTGAGCATTAACTTTTGAAATTTATGGGCCAGTTAAAACGGCAGCAGGCGAATTTGTATGAGATTATTTTCAAGACCAATTAAAAGATAGCCAAAACAGATTCGGCGTTTCGCAATAACTTGAGCACATGCACAAATTCATCTACTTAAATCATTAACGCGTCCGAAAAGCCAATGTACAATGAGAGTTTAAGATTTAATTTTGAATTACTTAATAATTCGATTTCACTGGGGTTCGATGCCCTAGCTTTGTGTTTGGTATGTTGACGCAACCCATTGCCCAAGCCCTGCCAGGCTATTTTTGATGGCATTGTAGCTAATATTGTTACCTTATTTGAATTTATTCAATTAAAAGAAAACAGATAAGAATTTTAGTGAATAGCCCAGCCATCCAGGTATCGTGTCAAATACATTTTCACAAGTAGATGAGTTTGAAACCTATAGGATGGTAAACCGAAAATTAATTTAAGTGCGATTGGAATTTCCAAATTGCTATTTTTATGCTGAAAATAATTTTTAGTCCGACCGGACGAAACTTAGAAATTCATCCAATCAACTACTGACTCGCGTTTACCATCCAAGAATGCCAGATTTTGTGAAAATTTTTCGCCAAACAGTAAGTTATGCATTTAGTCAGTCAGTCGATCAGGACAAACGCAGTTTTATATATTGAGATTTTGTATATAATTCCAATATGCTATATGCTGCATATACCCTGTAAAGCTTATTATGTATGCTGATTTATTGCTGTATATGAATGTGTAAATTTTGTATAAAATGAACACAATCACATATAAATTTATTTCAATATGTTAGAGTAGACAACGAGCCGCCCCATTTTGATATGCCCTGCGGAAAGTGTACAGAATGTATAGAATATAAAGATTATATCAGAATGGGAAGGCTGGTTGCTTCTTAAATTCTTAAATTTTGTGCCTCCCCGTAGCAGCTCTTGTAGTGGTTGTTGTTTCGATTGAAGGTGATTAAGTAATTTTCGCATTTTAAGCTAAGCTACATGTTATGTTTATATATATATTTATATTGGGGGGTCTGGATCCTCAGCTTGGTGGCTGCCACCAGGCTGCGAATCATTCAACTGCTCCGGTTCGCCATGCGGCGTATTCGGCGGAGAGGGCTGACTCTTGCGGGGCTTGGCATTGCCAAAAATGCTGGCCGCCTGCTTGGTCTCGGCCAGCGCATTGATCGGTTCGGTTACGGTGCGTGGCTGTAGGACAATCTTTGGACGATCATCGTCGTCGAGATTGGCAAATGGTGGACTGGTGCCACCGCTCAGGGATTGGTTATACCTTTCATTTGGGTTGTAGTGACCGCGACGGTCTCGTGTCCGGTTCTGGCCAAAGTTCGAGTAGTGGCCATTGTCATTGCTGATGCTTCGCTGGCGCGGGGGTCCGCCACGCCTGTAGTTGTTGTTGTTGCGATCATTATATCTGGGCGAGTAGTGTGGACAGATAAGTGAAACATTGCTTCACTATAACATGCTTACCGATTATTGTTATAGTTGTTGTTGTTTGTGTAGTGCGGAAAGCTACGACTACTTTGGAAGCTCGTCGATGATATGTGCGGCTCCACGCTCTGCCTGGGACTGCCTAGGCTGGACGTGTCGTGGCTGCCTCCGCCGAGAGAGCCAAAATCGCTGCTGTTGCTGCCGTCGTTGCCCTGATAGCCATCGTTATTATGGTGGCCCCTACCTCCGCCGCCACCACCTCCGCTACCACCTCCGCCGGCGCCACCGCTGCCGGCGCCTCCACCGCTGCCACCGCCACCGCCACCACCACCGCCACCCCTTCCGCCACCACCTCTTCGCTCGCCACCGCCACGCCCGCCGCGATAGCCGCCTTGCCGCGGGCTGCCGTCCTGTCTGCTCATGTGAAAGTTTGTGTTGGACGAACGATTGCCTACCGGACGACCTGGACTGTTCTGCTTGCGCGAATATTGGCCCTGGTAGCTTTGGGAGCCAACACTATTGTCGCGTCGAAAGTTGCGGCGTTGGTTGTGATTGCCGCCACTGCTGGACGCAGCTCCTCCGATGGCGCCACCAGGGCCGCCCTGACGCCGATGATCGGCAATATCGATGCGCAGCGGTGCTGACAAATTGTCCAGTTTAATGCGTCCATTGCGGGATAACGCACGCTTTAGCTGTTCCAATGTCGTAAATTCCACGTAGCCGTAGCCCTTGAACTCGTCAGTCTCCCGATCTTTGATCAGGCGTACGCTCTTTACTTCGAAATCATCGAAAATCTTCATAACATCGCCCTGGACGAGACCCTTGGGCAGGTTGCCAACAAAGGCAATGTATGGCGGATCGGTTGGCACTTCCCTGTTGCGATCCCGAAAGTCACGGTTGCGATTGTGAAAGTTACGATATTCTTGGGAATTACCACGATAGTCACGGTCATGATTGTTGTTACCTCTATCGTTGTTTGACCGATCTGCCATATTCTACGAGCTTATCAGTATTTAAACAATATATATTTTAAGTCCGGAGCTCGTATTCCCAGACGCTGTGGAAACGGTCTACGAGAGACATTGGAGTTACTTTGAATTGACATTGCTTCAAAACTCACTAGATCCTATATGTTCCAGCATAGCATTATTATTATTATATTATTTCTGTTTTTGAATGTTCTCCGAAACATTGTGAACATCCTGGACACACATCTATGTATATTATTAAGATTGTCAGCCTGTATTTCCTATCCAAATTTCACGCGAAATGGGGCAATCTGAGGAGGAATATCGTTCGTTGCGTGCGACACAATTTGTGGTAAAGTCAAGGTGAATTACAGAAATGAGAAATGTTAGCGCCTGGTCACCATCCCCATGGCCTTCGCATTGCTCCTGCAGTCAGACCAACTAGAAATGCACGGAAAAACATGTGTAAGCAGCGGAGCAAATGGCTCCATCTCCAGATTCAGCGCTTGTTTATGTTATGGATACTAAAAAATAAAACAACGGCGACGTTGACGACGATGGCAAGTACATGAAAAAGTCAACAGCAAATAGTGAGACCAAGCAGCATCAGCATCAGCATCAGCGCCAACAAGAACAACTGTTTTGGGGGCAACAAGAACAGCTAACGCGTTTTGTTTGCACGACGAACTCATGACTCATTTTTGTACATTTGTCAAAATTTTTGCCATACATCATTTTAAACAGTGCGCGACATTGGCGAGGCCAAGAGGCAGGACCAGAGTCGTTGTGGGTACCAGTTGGAATATTATGCACTGCCATCAGCTATGCCAGCCGAGCCACAGTGGTCAGAAAGTCAGAAAATAACGCAAGGAGCACAAAATTAAACAGTATTATAGTTGTAAAAAATATACTAGCAAGCAATCAATAGCATGAACCATCAAGATTTGAAGATCATTTGAATATTTTCGTAATAATATCCTATTCTCTAACCCAGCCACATAGAAATACACATGGGTATGCTTGTAATTCTCAACAAATTAAAGGGTGTAAAGTCTTTCGAATCCTAGCGTCGATAGCAAAGTCTGTTGAAGATGGGACCCTGAGGATCTTGCATTTGCTACGTAACTAAATGTTAACAGTGTCGTTTGATAAGAAAAGACAATTAAGTTGTGAAACGTTCACCTTTTCTAGAGCCTGGCCTCAGTGTGCCATACAGAGGCTTGGCTTGGCGGGGGGTTGGATTCGGCACACGCCAACGCATGCTAAAAGATAAATCGTCAGCAACACGGAATTAAAAACTGATGTAGCGATTAATTTATCACTCACTGGCAGAGCAACAAGCAGCTGCAAGAAGAGTTGCCAGCTACTGGCAATATTTAACTAACAAGTTGCAACTGTGTGGGGCACAGGGCACAGGGCACAGCTCCAGTGGCTTGAACAGTTTCAGTGGCATCTTTAGAAGCAGCTACGTAGCTGAGCTTCGAACCGATGCGGACAGTAAATAAATTACGAGCAACAAATAAACGCGCTCGGCTGCATCGATGGACAGTGGAAAAGCAAAGTAAAACAAAAAGCCGAGCAAAGGCAAAAGTAAAGAGCGTAGCGAAACGAGAAATGTGGACAAACAAAGACAAGAAAACGGAACCGGAAACGCTTTCAGCTGTCGAATTTGTATGAGCTGCTTGCTGCGTGTCGCCTGCCCGCCAGCTCCCGATGGAATGCCAAATGCCATGTTCATCCTGTCTTAGGCCAACAGCGAGCTTTGCTGCCCTGTCCCATTCGTAAGTGTTCAATCATTTGATTGCAGCAACAATGCAACATCAGCAGCGGCAACGGCAACGGCAACGGCAATGGAAAAAGAAGTGAAACACCGAAAAGGATTTATGGTCATCGATCAGAATTAATGAAGATTTTGTTTTAGTGTCCTGACAAAGCTCTACCATGCCACAACTTGGTCAGCGGGGTGGCTGTGCCAGGGTAGGGCAGTTCGGGACTGGAGTAGGTATGCCGCTTCAAATGGAGCATTTGTTACTAATCGTTTTTTTCAGCCTGAACTTCGCTTCAAGCACTTGTGACCGAGTACTAACCGTAACTGCTTGAGTATTACACTACATTAGCGAAATTAAATTGATTTTGTTCTGCGCCTGCTTAGATTTTTCCAAGCTCTGCTTCTTTCAACTTATTCTTTTTTGATCCCCTGCAACCCTGGCGCTTCACATGCTCAAGAGCTGTTGATACTCGCATTTCACCACCTTTTAATTCTTATTAGGGCAGATTGTCTTTCTCCTCTTCTTTCTCTCTCTCTCTCTCTCTCTCTCTGTGCCTCTTTTTCTCTTTCTTTTCCCTGCTTCTTGCCACTTTCACTGGCTCGTCATAACGCTGCCTTTGGGTTGATTTATGCTGCAGCGCCCACAAGTATGCAGCGTAAATATTTTTATGACCCAATATATGAACCCTGCCCTGAGCTGCCCCCGCCACCACCTACCCCTGCCCAACTAAACAACCCACCAGTGCACTTCTGTCTCAACAACCTCATATATGTATCTGTATAAGTATAAGTAGACCAGGAGCAGCGGCCCACACTAATCATATTAAATGAAATTCATACGTCGCCGCATTTATGCGATTTACTCAGGGACTCACGAGCCACTAGCGAGGGTTGCTAAAACGTTTCGTATAGCTGGCAATTGTTGTTATTGCTGTTGTTGTTGTTTTTGTTGCTGTTGCCATTGTTGCTGGCTGGCAACATTTTTGTTGTCGTTTAAACTAATTGAGTGTTACAAATTTTATGTGCAAAATCTTTAAGCTAAATTGAAATTTGTTTTGTTTGCCTTTGGCCTGGTCTTGTTGTAGTTTCTCTTGTTGTTGTACATTTTTCACATATGATGCGGGTCGTATATGAACCCATTTAATATTATGTGCACATTTCGTTGTTGCTCTCCGTAAAGTGAGTCGAAACATTTTTAAATTAAGGTATGCTTCTCACTTTAAAAAATTGCCTACCATGTGATAAATATGTTGGGATGACTAACTTATAAAAAAACTTATTTAACTCAAAACATAACATGCCCAACCTCCAATACTTATGTATGTAGTGTACTGGGTTTTGTCTTTGAAAGCTCGGACCTGGATCTTAATTGCCTTAACAAATATATTTATTATATATATTATTTATTAATGGGATGACGAAAGACATTCAGAGAATAGAAGGAAAGACGTAAGTGGTCAACGTATTAGAGTAAGTGCAGGAAATAAAGAGAAATAAAGTGAGAGAAAGAGAGTGGGTTAGAGAGGAAGAAAGAGTAGGAGGCAAATAGAGTAATATGGCGCAAGAGAGAGTGTTAATGTAAAAGAAGAAGGAAGACAAAGTTTCTTAGATGAAAATGTTTCCATAAGTCTAATTTAAATTAAATTATGCATATGTAAATGCAAACAGGAATCATTATATTTAAGAGTGAAATGAACTTCGTCTGTATTCGGTATAGGAAATCAAATATAGCGAGTATTACCCGTCCTTGTCCGAAGCAATGAGTAATTCTTAAAATTTAAAACAAGTTTCTCTGTCTTTTCCGGGCTGTGGAATGATATAGATCCTCTACAAATTTGAACTCCCATGATAGATTTCCGAATTCGGTGAATAACATTATTAAATTGGCGGCCGATCAGATAGAAGGCAAAATGTTTCGTACAACGGTTTTCCGCGACTTTTCCACTCTTGATTGCTAATCACTGAGTGAGCCACCTTAAGAGATATTTTTCTATGTAGGTTTATGACTAAGGTAACTCACTCTAAAATTGTAAATGGTTATTGCGGTCATATATTTAGAGCTATTTATTTCTTATCTTGGCTTTATCTGTTTGGCTTGAATTGATAATTGCGTCGCCGGCAAAACGCATTTTTCGCCAATTTACATAATTTACGATGGCAGATTTTTGCGGCCCACGCCACAAGATTGGGCCACAAGAAAATTGCATACAACTCGAAACTCGAAACAATTTGGTCAGATGATTTGTGCCATTGCAGCGACTTGGCTGACGATAAGATCCAAAAATTTGGCTGCTGTCTCGTCCGAATGCATGGGTTATAAACAAATAGGATGGCCAAATTAAACTTATGTCTGAGATTTATCATTTCTGGGGCCATATATCAGCGCCCGAGTGGCAGGCCAATAAAATATGGCACTTGCTTAGGGCCTGGCCAACAGGCAATTACCAATTGCCAAAGCCGCCCAAGCGAAAAGCTGTCGCGAGATTTTGAAAAATTAACAATGTCATGTACGAATATATACCATATACTCATAGCGCTAAGAGGAAGAGAGATATAGTTGTTTAGTTCCAAACTGTAGATTTATGCCAATTTAAAGAGACAAAACTTGTACTTGTACAGCTGCTGATGCTGATTTATGGCCACTCGCCACAATGTTTGGCAAAGGGTATATAGTACCGAGTCCCAGTCCCACTTCCAGTCCCATTCCCGTTCCCATACCCATACCACATGCCGCCAACTATTTGAAGCTGGCCATAAATTATGCGTATGATCAAATTGCTACCTTCATGTCGTAGTCGCACAAGTTTTTGTGTTGTGCTTTCAATTAAGTCAATTGATTTTAATTAGACCATGACTTAGACATATTTTTATAAGCATATTCCAAAGAAATTATTATTATTAAACACGCGACCCACCGAGGGGCACATATTCTTAACGAATGTTACCTCGATGTCGGCGCTGTGGTAACTTAATATCAGATAGAAAATACTCTCTACCCATTCAGCTCAATTAATGGGAATTACGAGTAGATGGCCAAGTCGCCGCATAATACACCAGCAGCGGCAGAAGCAGACGTTGAGTGCCCACATGTAATGCCAACTGGAGGGTAGCTTTGGTTCCAGTTTGAGCTCCTTAATTGGTGACAGACAAAGACACACACACACAGGGTATAGAGCGGGACTCACATGCGACGTGCCTCAATTGAGGTGATCAACGTTAATTAAAAGCCAACAAAAGACAGTGAAATTGACTCAGCCGGCGGAAACTGTTGTTGGCTCATTAAGTGCTTTGCCCGGCCACGCCCACAAGCCAGAGCACTGTACGCCCCACTGAACGATCGAGATGAAAAAT